TGTTTGAGATGACTGTGAGTCATGAAGTAGAGATATTAAGTAGCTAGTTGGATTTGTGAATCCGAGTTTTGGTGGAGAGGTCTGGGCTGGACAGCAATTTGAAAATTATTAGTTTATAGACTTAAAGTCAAGGAGTTGGGTGACGTCACCTGGGGAGAGTAAAATAGAGAAAAGAGGGACTGGGCCCTGGAACACAGCAACATTTAAAGATTAAGCCAAAGGAGAGAAATCAAAAGATTTTGAAAAGGAGTCCCAGTGAGGTGCTAAGAAAATCTCCATGGTGAGACATTGAGAGAAGTTCAGGGGGAAAAGTGTTTCAAAAGAAAGGAAGCCTGTTGCTTGTTTGCAATTCTGCTGAGAGGTCAATTTAGATAAGAATAGAGAATTCACAGTTGGTTTTGGAAACATGGAGATCATTAGTAATCNACAGGGTCACTTGCCCCCATGTGGGATCTGAACCGGGGCCCTTCTGCTCAGAACTGGTGCTCCCAAGCCAACTCTTCACCAATGTGCCACTTGCCTGGATTAGGTCTCAGTCCCACAAGATTGCCACACACACACACACACACACACACACACACACACACACACACACACACACACACACACATTTCAGATATACACATATATCTAAAAATACATGTGTACTTTTATACTGAAGTAATTGTAGATTCTCAAGAGATTGTGAAGAAATGTAGGGAAGTCACATGCACCCTTCCCCCAGTCTTCCTCAAAGTCAACATCTATTGAACTGTAGTACAATATCAAAACCAAGAAATTGACATTGATAAGAACCATCCTCTCCCTCCATCCCTAACCCCCTGGCAACAACTAGTGTGTTTTTCATCTCTATAATTACATTTTTTTCATTAATGTTACATAAATAGAATTATGCAATAAGCATCCTTTTTGGTTTGTTTGTTTTCTTTTCCACTTAGCATAATTTCCATGAGGTTTATTCAAGTTGTTGTGTATATCAATAGTTAGTTGTTTTTTTTTTAAATTGCTGAGTAATAATACATGGTATGGATGTATCATAGTTTGTTTAGCCATTTACCCATTAAAGGAGATTCGGATAGTTTCCAGTTTGGGGCACTTATAAAGCTGTTATGAACATTTTTGTACAATCTCCTACATGAAAATAAGACTTCATTTCTCTGAGATAAATGCCTTCTCCGTTTTCAAAGGAACTGCCAAACTATTTCCAAAGTGCCAATACCATTGCTACTAACAATATATGTGAGATCCATATCTAAGGAAGCTATGCCCAATCCAAGTTCATTGAGATTTACTCCTAAGTTTTCTTCTAAGAGTTTTATAGTTTTAATTCATATTTAGATCTATGATTCATTTAGAGTTAATTTTTGTGTGTTGTGTGAGGGTCACACATAGCTTTAGGGTCCCACAAAAATGTTTTAAATCTTTAAAATCAGGAAAAAAGTATACTTGGATTATATTAGTCTTTATACCAATGCAGTTGTAAAATATAATTTTTAATTTTTTTTAAGGAAGAAAGGGCCTCTGAGGTTCTTTCTGACACCAAATACATGGTGTCTTTACTCACCAATTCTCCAACACCAACT